CGCAGGTAGCACAATGTGGCTTTTCTCATAAAAAAATTACTCAAACAGCTTTCGAATCATTTGTTTGTTTAATAGAATTGGCTTTATTAATTTATAGGTTACGTTTTAAGATCTAATGAGGTATTTATTGAATATTTTTGTAACTGTCCTTTTAAAAGACAGCTTTCTATACAATGATTTACACAAAATACGACTAAGAAACAATAATATTTTCACTAAAAATAGGTAAATTGAATCTTGAAGAAAGTATTAACAACAGTTAAGCCGTCCTAGTTCTATGAATATCATTCCGACAAAGAATAAACACGCAAGAACACTAAGCTAACTCATAATAAAAAAGCCACTTGATCAAAGTAAACTATAAAAATTACGCTTAAAGTTTATCACTACTTGATCAAAGTAAACTATAAAAATTGTTTTTGTTTTAAAATGGTCTTGGCTGATGCTAGTAAGTTTATTACTTATTACCTTATTGTGACATTTTGTAGATTTTCATTTTCATATACTTATTATTAAATACGAGCTTCATCTTCCATCCTGGCCAACTAGAAAATGAAATATAAGTGTTAAGTGTGAAAATTAGTTACATGATTATTAGTGAAGTCATTTGTGTTTATAGTAGCCCGCTTTAACCAGATGGAAAGGTTTCGGCACGTGAAGAGAAGGAAATTTGTAACGTGATATCTGGTATGGGTGAAACCGAAAAAATTGTAACGTGATATCTGGTATAGGTGAAACCGAAAGAAAAGGATGTGCCAATCAAGAGGAATATATTTTTGTGTGTGCGATTGTTTAAATTGTATGCATTTTTTATAGTTCAAACAATATTTTTGAGTCGTTGAGGCCTATTTTAAATACTGATTGATACACTTTCTACACTGCAAGAGATCGTTTGTATTGTTCATCTAATTACCTTGGTGATGTTTACATCGTTTTTCATTATGTTCGTTGGATAATTGTTTGTTTGTTTGTTTGTTTGCAATTAAGCACAAAGCTACACATTGGGCTATCTGTGTTCTGCCCACCACTGGTATCGAAACCCGGATTCTAGCGTTGTATGTCCGAAGACATACCGCTGTGCCACTTGGGGGCTGGTTGAAGAAGGTAGAAATAATGAGCACGAGGTTGTAGATCTGTTTCTCGGATGGGATAACGGTAAGTTTAAGGACTTACAGTGCTAAAATTCAGGGTTCGGTTTCCCTCGGTGGATAAATCAGATAGTCTAATGTGGCTTTGCTCTAAAACAAATAAAGTCTTGCAACTCCTTTCATTACGAGAATTAAAGGAAGAAAAAAATTGAAGTGTTTTAATATCTTTCTTTTGTTTTATCAATTCGCCTTCACAAAGTTTTGCAGTAATTCGCTTCTGAAAAATTAATATAGGTGTAAATAGGTTTATTATTTTGTTGTCAGGGGTGACGAAACAATACGAGATGTCTGAATCAAGAACAATAAACTTTATAGCTATATGTATATATTTAACATATTATAAAGCATACGTTTGCATATCATCCATTCAGTGTTTACACACTAGATTAATTGAATTTTGAATATAAATAAATAAATAAAGTTGACACGCGATTCCTAGAAAACTGAATTCAATGTCTTACTTTATCGCGAAAGAAATGCATTTTTTAAATATTTGTTATACCAGGAAGGAACAAGAGTAATATACAAAAAACGAATGCCTTAAATATCATTACTTTGAAGTAGACAGGTATATTTTCTTTTATAATGCACTATATACCCTTGAGCTTAGAATCACGGAGAATAAAAAGGACGAATTATGTATATTTAATTTTATTTTTCGCTAAGACACGTTAGCTTATTCAATTATTTTATGATTTTCGGAGCATTCGTAGATTGATCAAAGTAAACTATAAAAATTGCGCTTAAAGTTTATCAAAGTAGTGATAAACTTTAAGCGCAATTTTTATAGTTTACTTTGATCAAGTAGTGATAAACTTTAAGCGCAAATTTTATAGTTTACTTTGATCAAGTAGTGATAAATTTTAAGCGCATACCGCTGTGCCACTGGGGGGCAATATTGGAAAGAAAATATTAAGGTACCAGCGTTTTTGGTTTTTTAGTTTTTCACTATAATTAAAAGCTGTAAAAATCTTCATTGAGTGGAGCTGCTAACTGTTTCAAGACTTGTCAGTAATAAACAGAATATGTCTTTTTCTTTAACTTTTTAAACTAATTACTACTTTTCCGTTCGTTAGAGTAAAATATGTGAAATTTGAAAACTGTGTGTTGCAAGAATAATAATTTGTAAGAATTATATAAAGCAATTATGCTCATTAAATTATATCCCATGTAGTTAATTTAAAATTAATTGTATGGAGAGAGAACAATATTAGCTAAGTGAATAAGTTTGATAGAAGTAAAAAAACAATTAAGAATAATGTCGAAACAGGACAGTTTCATAGAATTATTCTAATGTATTTTGATATTCTTTAAACCATGTGACTATAATTAGCAATATTTATAATATATGCTCAGACTAAAAACCATATAAGAAGGAATTCATTTTGCGGGTTTACATCTTTAGTAGTATTTGCTATAGATGTTTCACGAACCAACATCGTTTTATCATATACCAGTTCTTATTATTTTATCGTAAGTCATAGACTATTAAAAAAATACGCTAATCAACTCATTAAAATACAAAACTTTAAAGAAAGCTCCTATTTGTGACATGACTAATTATTAGAAAATACGCTAACCAAAAGATTAAAATACAAAACGCTAAAACAAAGCTCCTGTTTGTGACATGACTAATTATTAGAAAATACGCTAACCTAAAGATTAAAATAGAAAACGCTAAAACAAAGCTCCTGTTTGTGACATGACTAATTATTAGAAAATACGCTAACCAAAAGATTAAAATACAAAACGCTAAAACAAAGCTCCTGTTTGTGACATGACTAATTATTAGAAAATACGCTAACCAAAAGATTAAAATACAAAACGCTAAAACAAAGCTCTTGTTTGTGACATGACTAGTCAATTATAGACAAAAGCTCCCTTTTGTTTTGTAAACCTTATCAATACCTGTACAAAAACTAAACTGTCAGTCAATCAAAATAATGAAGACAGTCAAAATTTATTAATAATACAGTGATGTGGTGTACACAGTGCAAAAGCATTTCAATTCTGTCGTCCTGTTTAGACTTGTGACTTAGCGGTATATTTGTTTGTTTCTTTGGGGTATCTGTTGTGTCCACTGTGGGAAATCGTACCCCAAATCTTAGAGCTGTAAGTGTGTAAGCTTACCGCATTCACACCGGAGGACACTCAGCGGTATGCCTGATGGCTTATAGCGTTAAAAACCGGGTTTCGACACCCGTGGTGGCCACACGACAGATAGCCTATTGTGTAGTTTTGTGCTTAATAACAAACAAACGGTCGTCCTTCCAAACCAAAAACGTGACAGCTATACGGTCGAATGTGCTGTGATTCTTCAGTTAGAGAAAATCTAAAACCATAATCTTCTATAACTTTTTACTACATATACGTCATAGTAAGTATATATTTTAAAATACTCCTTATTCAAATTACATTGTTTTCATTTATCGCGTGTACCTGTTTTATGATCTATGTATTGTATAAAACATTAAGCAAAACTCTCTAGATTACTGCACCTATATGTTAAAAATGTAAATGTACAGATAATGTAAAGGACTGATGAAATTTCAGCAATTTTATATAATCTTCCCTGTATTCACACCTCAGATTAATTAGTTCTATAAATGTTAAGCTAAACCATTCAAAACTATAACTTCATAGTATATTATTTCACTGTTGAAAAGCTACGTTTTTAGTGTTTTATTCCTCTATTTATCAAAGTTCTCGTATCGCATAAGTATATACGCACACTAGTTTTGCTTATGTTAAAATGTATCTGTTCTTCGATGCTGTTTACTTGTTTCAGCATAAATACTACAAACAAACTTAAGTTTTTGTTTTGTCTAAGAAATGACATTTTTTGACCTGTTCAATGACCTGGAAGGTTCGGATATAGTCTTCCCTCATTTTGAGCTACTTGCCAGAGGGAAGCCAGTCGCTGCCACAATGGCCTTACTTAGCTCTTTGAACCAAATAATGGTATCGATCGAATTAGTATAATGCGGCCACATTTGACGGAGTTAAAACTACTCAATGACACTACGTTTTGAACCTCAGAATTTGCGAGCTGAAGCCCTAAACGCTAACCAATAAATCACACTAGATACTCTTGTCTCTGTTTCATACATTACATTTTCAATTAAAAAAAGAGTATTACCTCAAAAAAGCAATTAGCTATAAAGCAATTCAAATGTTTTTGTCATTGTTCTCCAGAAAATTATCACTGCAAGGTACTGAGTTTTTAATTGCACTTTATAAGAATGGTTCTCTATAGTAATCATGCTAATTCCTACGGCCCTGATTACGCAATATTACCCCAAAACCGCAGTTTTTATTACAAAAAAAAAAACTTCTGCGAAGTGGAGAGGTTAGTCCTAGACCCTACATAATGACAAATTTGTTACAGGCCATCCATTATACGGTATCCATTATATATATATTGGCTTCCAAGACCACGTTTTAACAGACCAAATTCCCAAAATATTCTGTTGTAACTATATCTGGGAACGTGACGGTTATACGGTTGAATGTGCTGTGATTCTAGTTTCTTAGACCATTTTCCGTGACTTCAGTTTTTTTATTATCTTGTTAGCGGTTCCGTGAGATATATGATAACCTTCAACTCGATAGCTTTTTTGGGTCTCTTTCGTAACCACAACCTTTACTTTGCGGATGAGAGCTCTTCATCCAGTTAGGCTGCTTTTGGTTTCATGGCCTGTTGTTATCCTAAATGCTCTACTATGGAACTTTTTGATTCCACTGAGAACATCGAAGGCGACACGCCACTGCAGTACACCATTATTACAAAGTGCGATTAATCTTTTCCTTTATCAAATTTGATAATTAAATCTTTCTAATGTTTAATTTCAGCCTCCATTCTGTACACCGCTGTAGTTGGTGGAAAAGTGGCCCTGCCATGTGACATATCTTCTCCTGCTACCGACGATTCTGCCGCTTTAATTCTGTGGTATAAGGGCGAATCTGCTCAACCAATTTACACGCTCGATGCTCGCAGAGACAGAGTAAACCAAGCTCGACAATCCGTTAGCCCTCAGCTACAAAACCGGGCCTACTTCAACATGATTAACAGACCTGCCTTTCTTCAGCTAGACCCTGTAAGATTAGAAGATGCCGGAGAATATAGATGTCGTATAGATTTTCACAAGGCTCGCACTATCAACACTGTTATAACTCTAAAGGTCATCGGTAAGAATCGTTCTAGATAATTCTTTTGGGCGCATTATCTCCCCCATATTTCCTGGTGTTCAAAACACAAAATATATCATGTATATATATA